AGCCCGCCGGCGCGGAGGGTGAGCCGAGCAGGCAAGCTTCCGCCGAGAGGAGCGGCCAAGGCGCGGCTGGAACCGGACGGAGAGCGGCGGGGCAGGGGGCGAGGCCTCCCAGGGAAACCTCCGGCGGCGGCGTCTGGGTCCCGAGCCCGGGGTGGCTTCTTTAAAGACAAACAAAGGCGAAGATGCGGAGGCTGGGAAGCCGGAGATGGGGAAATCTGCTGTCATAAAAGAGAGCGAGAGATTCAGAGAGGGAGACCGCGAGAGTGCGAGACGGAGAAGCCGGGAGAGGAATTCAGTGCCGTGCGCGCAGCCATAAAAGAATATGACCGCTATAAAACTTTATAGCGTATAAATTTCTGAAGGTTAAGAAACTAAACAGCAGCAAAGCAAACAGTGAGGGGAAACTTTCCGGAGCTGAGCGAGCCGCAGCTGGGCCTGGGCTCTGGGGCTGGCGGGCGAATGGGTGGGCCGGGCTCCTGGGTGGGGATGGGGGGTCCCCACACTCACCCGCCCCGGGGTCCGCGGGGCTTGGGATTTCCGAGGGGGGTGGGGGGGGGACCCAGGGGGCAAAGAGGGGAGAAGAGGGACGGGGAGGGAAGAACACTTTGTTGTCACACAAGCTTCAGAGAACGCAGTTAGGACTCTTGTCTTTGTTCCTCACACCCACTCCAGAATCATAAACGAGAAGCCCCCTGCGCACACGCACGCACACACACACTCACACACACACACACACACACACACACACACACACACACACACGGGTGCGGCGAAGCCAGACGTCTGGGCGCGGGCAGCCTCTTGATCCTTTTACAGCCCCCTCCCACCCTCCCAGGCCTCCTCTGCCCCCCACAAAAAGCCCAATTGTTTCTTCTCAGAATTTGAAACAATCGTGTTGGGTTTGAAAAGTGCTCGGCTCCCCCCTTTTACGGGCCATAAACGGCGCACTGCCTGGCGGGGTCCGCCAGAAATTAGGGGGTTGGGGTGGGGGTGGAGGAAAGGGACTGTCGGGGGTCAGTACCAGAGGAAAAAAATCTTATGGTTTCTTTTTTCGCTTTCCTACCCCCTCGCCTATTTTTTTTTTTAGCTTATCTGCACAATTTCATGAGCCATTTCCTGATTTCCGATGGCTTTTCTCTCGCCTGCTCTCGTTTCCCTCCCCCTTTTCTGCTAATAATGAAAGTTTCTCCCGCTTGTCGCCTAGGTGGCTGGCTCTTCGGAGAAACCAGCCGAGCCTGTGGCGGCGGCGGCGGCGGCGCCTGTTCTCAGGATGACCGCTAGATGGCACCCTTGCTCCACGCGAAAATCCCCGGTGCGGCGGCTACGGATTCGCGGCTGCACATCGCACCTTGGCCGGCCCTGAATCTGTGAACTGAGCGCTACCAAAAGTCATGAATAATTTGCGCGTAATAAAAATATAGGGTTCATTATGGCCGTTTCCCCCATTTTATAGATTTCAGATATAGCCTATTGTTTCCCCCCTCCCCTTCAAATGGTCAATTTTCTGAATTTCCCCCAGGAGGAGGTCTCCGTGCTTCTCACCCAGTTTCTGTGGTCGGTAGGGCAACAAATGCATGAAAACGGGGAGGAATAATAATAATAGGAATAGGGAAATGGGCAAAATAAAAGAGGAGAATTGGTTCGGAAAAATGAGATTTTCCGGGAGGGGGACTGGAGGACTGTCTGCGGATACGGGTGAGCAGGTCAGGTGAAAGGGGCGAGCGGGCAGAAGAAGGTCGGATGGAGAGCAAGCTGCCCGGAAACGGGATCAGGAGCCGAGGGAACGGGGTGAGCCAGCCCGGGGTGTAGGGGTACAACCTGGGGGGAGTGGCATGGATCCCCGGCTTTGGTGCGGATTCGGAGGTGCCCAAAGCCGGCGGGGCGGATCAGCACGGACAGAGGCTTCACAGCCTTTGTACGCGGCCGGGGCTGGGCGCGCGCCGGGTGAACAAGGCGCGGGGCAGGGGCTCCCCAGAACGGCACGCGTGGGGAGGTCTCGTACGTTTTCTCGGTTGTTCCGCGCGCCCCAAGTTGGGCAGCCAAAAAAGTGTGCGTTTTCCGGATGGATGTGGGGGTAGGCACGGCGGCAGGAAGCAGGGGCTCGGTTCTCCCGGCGTTCCGTGGTTCCCAGGTGAGAGCTCGGGCTCAGTGTGCGGCGGCCCCGGCAAACCTAGGGGACAAGGGTACTTTCGCAATTTAGCACCTGGAGGCCTGGGCTCGGCCAATTTTCCTTCTGATACCCGCGCGCTGTATGCCCATAACTCTTTTAATTCCAAATCTTCCATTTCCTCCCGGCCCAGCCTGATCTGTGCCCCCCATCCGGACAAACCTGCCTGCGAAACACACACACCGCCCCCCTCCTTAAAATTAGCCCCGCCGCGGTCTCTCTTCTCTTCCCCCAGGACCTGGTGCAAAGAGGCAAGCGGAGTTTCTCAAGTTGAGTTTCTCTAATAAATCTGCGCTCCGTTGGGTGTTTATAAATTATCTCCTCGCTCTTTCTTGTTTTTTTTTTCTTATAATAGAAACATTTTCCTTCCATCAGGAATTTCTGGCACGGTGTAGGGATGATTTAGAAAAAGCCATTGAATTTCTACCTCACCGGTGAGTCCTCAAATCATGACCATAAAATCCCCCGCATTTGATAAAAATGTTCTCTTCGGCAACAACTTAACTGTGCCTTCCGCTGCCTCACCGCCCCCTCAGCCTCACACTGAAAATCCAAGACCCTGGTTCTCTTCCCGCCTCTTCTCCATTCTCTTCCTCCCTTTCAGCCTCTCTCCCATTCTCCCGATTCACTTTTGAAGGATCCGGTGGCTCTACTGGGAACTTCCTCTTGGAAAAAGCTGATGGTTTCATTTTTACAAAGGTTGGGGTAAATGGGATCCCCCCTCCCACCAAAGCACCCTTCCAAAAGCAAACCACCCTCTGGTGAATAAACGATGGCTTGGATGTGTTTGTGAAGCCTCTACCTTTGTTACTAGAATTTTTCCTTCTTTCTCCCTCTCTCTCCCTCCCTTCTTTCTTTCCTTTCCTTGGCCAGTGAGCTGATTCAGGAGGCCATTGGTTGGGACCCTAGGACTGGGGCCTTGGAAAACCTGGCCACCACCCTCAGTAGGCCAGGAAGGCTGGGGAAGGCAAAGGCAGGAGAGTGTGGTACCCACACAGCTCAGCCCTGTAGGCTGTGCCTCAGCAGGCCCCAGCACCTCAGGTCTGGAGAGAGAGTTGGGTTTGACTATAGGCTCCCCAAGGAGAGAGGAGAGAAAATGGGGGGACTCTGTCGGCTTGCTCCATCCAAATCCCCTCTACCCCAAGGTCAGTTTAGGTAGTGATGGTGGCTCAACGGACTCAGAAAGCTAAAAGGTGCCCCCCCACCCATGCATATACTCTGCAGCCTCTACCTAGAGCCAAGGAGAGGATAGGACAGCAAGCCTCAAGACCAAGCACCTGGGCCTCAGTGTCCAACAGCGGCCTCCATGGCCCTTCCCTCCCTTGGATGTGCTGTCACCCTAGGGTGCCGCAGAAGGTGTGGAGGGTGGCCTGGAAGGTGGGGAACCAGCTGAGCTTGGCTAGCAAGTCTCAAGGCCTGGGTGCAGGAGTGGGACTATCCAGCTGGGCGTCATCCTGCCGGTGGCACCAGGCCTCACTCCCATCACACAAAGTTGGTTCCCCCAAAGCGCAGACTAGAGACCCTCCTCCCCATCCCAGCACCTCTCTCCAGGCCAAGGAGGTCGTGCAAAACTGCTGATTGGGTGCTTGCTGGGTGAACTTTGCTCCCTGCTTCTACCACTGCCCATTAACCAGAAAGTTTCTTTCCTCCCCCCCTTCTGCGTCCTCACGGCCTGCCAGGACCATTCTCCAAAGAAAATCCTTGCTTGTTTGTTTAATGAGGGAAAGTGGGTGAGTGGCCTGGGTGGGGCAGAGAGGAGGTGGTTTGGGGGCTCCCGAGTAGGGGGTAGGGGCAGGTGCTGGCCACAGCTGAAGGAGGTAAAAATCTCAGGAAAGTCACCGTTTGCGCCGAAAAAACCCATCATCGTTCTCATTTCGGCTTGGTCACCCCCACCGCGCCGCAGTCGGGCGGCGGAGCGGTCGAAGCTGCAATTTTATAGCTGTAGAGGAAAGAACTCGTAAAATGCTAACAGCTTTTATGCGCTGCGGCATAAACAACAACAGACTCCGGCTTTATTGCGTTTTATAGTTTGTTAAAGAGTTTACGGCCGTTTTTGGGGGGCCGGTTACCCAGCCAATTCCCTCCACACGATAGTTAAACCTTTATCAATAATAAGGAAATTGATCATTAAAGCCTTAAATATGACTACCTCGTTTGTTTGAAAATATGTTTAGGAGAGGAAGCTGTATGATTTGATAACTTGTATTAAAATACCAATTACATTTATAGGACCTTTTAAAACTCGGCGCAATTAAACCGTGTTCTTTTACATTTTTCCGAAGCGACCCTGACATTTAAAAAGACTCCAACTGCCTCGTTAAAATCGCGAAATTAACAGCATGCCTACGCCTGGCGCGTTGTGTATATGTGTGTGTGCGTGTTTTTTTCTGTGACGCCCCCACATCAGTCTTTGGGGGTGGTCTGCGAAGGTATTTGATTTGTTGTGAGGCGAGAGATATCTCATTAATGTAGGTAGTTAAACAGATTTAATCCGTATTCATTCTCTCTCTCTTACCCCCACTCCCTCTCCCCCTCTCTCCCCCTCTCCTCCTCTCTCCCCCTCTCCTCCTCGCTCTCCCTGGGTGTTTTTTTTTTTTTTTCTTCCCCTCCTTTTTTTTTTTTCCGCTCTCTCCTCACTCCCTGGCGCTCTCTCGCTCTAGCTCTCTCTCTCGCTCGCTCTCGCTCTCTCTCGCTCGCACCCTCGCTCTGCGTTCTGTCCGGGAGGAGTACGGAGAAGCCAATAGGATGCGGGGTTTCTAATGGATGCAAATGATCATGAAAAGACAGTGCAAAATATGAAACAACTCATTTGCAGGGAAGTAAATCACCGAAAACTGTTTATGAACTGGCATCCCTTCTTCGAAATGTAAAGCGAGGACCTCTTTAAGTGGCGGTATATTTTTGTTTGGGGGGTGGGGGGTGGGGGGAGGGCGAGCGAGCCGCGGCTGCCATGCAAGCTTAGACTTTTGGAGGCTTCGCTGTCCTTTTCTATTCCTGGAAATCACAAAAAGTGTGGCGGCTTTGAGATCTTCTTCGCCTTTTCTTTCTTTTCTTTTTTTCCCCCTCCTCCCTTTCCCTCTCCTTTCCTGGCGAGGGTGACTAGGAGCCGGCGAATCCGCGTTTTTTTCTCTCTCTCTCCCTCCCTTTCCCCCTCCCCACCCCCTCCCCAACAGCCCCCAACTACAGCCGCCGCCGCCGCCGCCGCCTCAAAATTCAATAAAATGAGCTCTTATTTCGTCAACTCACTGTTCTCCAAATACAAAACCGGGGAGTCCCTGCGCCCCAATTATTATGACTGCGGCTTCGCCCAGGACCTGGGCGGCCGACCCACCGTGGTGTACGGTCCCAGCAGCGGCGGCAGCTTCCAGCACCCGTCGCAAATCCAGGAGTTCTACCACGGGCCGTCGTCGCTGTCCACCGCTCCCTACCAGCAGAACCCGTGCGCCGTGGCGTGCCACGGGGACCCGGGCAACTTCTACGGCTACGACCCGCTGCAGCGGCAGAGCCTGTTCGGGGCGCAGGATCCAGACCTGGTGCAGTACGCCGACTGCAAGCTCGCGGCAGCCAGCGGCCTGGGCGAGGAGGCCGAGGGTTCAGAGCAGAGCCCGTCGCCCACGCAGCTCTTCCCCTGGATGCGCCCGCAAGGTGAGCTCGCGTCGGGGCCGGCGGGAAGGGAGAGCGGAGGGCCCGAGGCAGGGCAGGGGGCCGGGTAGGCCGGGAGCATTTCCTCCAGCTCCTGGAAGACGTGCCTGCTCCGTTCCGATTGCCTCCCACTTCTTTCCTCCTTCCTCCCTCCCTCCCTTCCTCCTCCCTTCCTTCCTTCCTCCTTTTCTTCCTCTTCGCCTTCCTTCTTTCCTTCCTTCCTCCCTGCCTTCCTTCCTTCCCTCCCTCCTTCCTTCTTCCCTCCCTCCCTCCCTTCCTTCCTTTCTTTTTTGTTTTCCTTGAAGGGGGGGTCGCTAAGCGACGTTTCCTGAATCCATAAACCCCTCACCCTGCCTTACTTTTCTTCTTCTCATCCTTCCCCCCCCCTTTTACTGCTTTATGGGGGTAGTGAAGAGAGGGCGGCGGGAGTGGGGGCGCTCAACTTTTGCACTTCTCAATTGCTTTATAGTTTAATTACCCTGAAGAAACTTTTCTTCTGGGGCAGAGGCTCTGGGGGCTTTTCAAGGTGGGTCCACTCGTCCCAGTCCCGGCTTTTTAAATTCTTATTTTCCCCCTCCCCCTCCTTCACACCCTTCCTTATAAAGTTTATGGCACTTTTAATAGATTTGAACTACCCCCCCCCCCCCCCCCCCCCGCTCTTGTCCCCCCCCTCCCCCCCCCCCCCCCCCCCCCCCCCCCCCCCCCCCACTGCTGACCGCGGCCTCCCAGCGCCCCCGCCCCTGCACGGGATAGAAGGTCCCCTTCCCTTATTATACTGGTCTCCCAGGCTGGTTCACGAATCTTCCAACCTTCTCCGTCTCTGCCCCCTCCCCCACCCTCCCCCCCCCACCCTGTCTCGCCTTTTCCCCCACTCCCAGCAGCCGCCGGACGCAGGCGAGGCCGACAGACCTACAGCCGCTACCAGACCCTGGAGCTGGAGAAGGAGTTCCTATTTAATCCCTATCTGACTCGCAAGCGGCGGATCGAGGTATCGCATGCGCTGGGACTGACAGAGAGACAGGTCAAAATCTGGTTCCAGAACCGGAGGATGAAGTGGAAAAAAGAGAACAACAAAGACAAGTTCCCCAGCAGCAAATGCGAGCAGGAGGAGCTGGAGAAACAGAAGCTGGAGCGGGCCCCGGAGGTGGCGGACGAGGGCGACGCGCAGAAGGGAGATAAGAAGTAGGCTCCAGCTGGGACTGCCAGGGCCGCGGCCGCCCTGCGTCCGTGGGTCCCCCGACCACGCCACGGCCGTCGCCCGCCCCCGCCGAGAGAGCTCTGGCCCCGCGAGCGGGGCCCGGAGCCCGGCCTCCCGCCGCAGCGTCCCCCGCCGCGCCAGTCCCCGCTAGTGGTAGTATCTCGTAATAGCTTCTGTGTGTGAGCTACCGTGGATCTCCTTCCCTTCTCTTGGGGGCCGGGGGGGGAAAGAAAAGGATTTTAACCAAGGACTCCCTCGCCCTGCGAGGGTGAGCGGCTGCGGCCTGGCTGAGCCCCCCACGCCCCCGCCCCGTGTAAAAAGCCTCCTTGTGCAATGGTCTTTTTTCCTTTGAACGTGCTTCTTTGTAATGACCGAGGTACTGATTTCTGCTAAGTTCTCCCAACAACATGAAACTGCCTATTCACGCCGTAATTCTTTCTGTCTCCCTCTCCTCTCTTCTCTCTCTCTCTCTCTTTCTCCTCTCTCTCTCTCTCTCTGTCCTCATTTCCCCCTCCCAACCCTTCTCTCCCCGCTGCCCTCCCTAGCTCGCTGGCTTTCTCTCTTGCTTCTCTCTTTTCCTCCCCCCCCCCCCCCTCCGCGCCTTTGGTTTGGCAATTTCGTCTTAAGTGTTTCTCAAAAGAGGTTACTTTAGTTAGCATGCGCGCTGTGGGCAATTGTTAAAAGTGTTCTTAGGTTTACTGTGAAGAGAATGTATCCTGTATCCGTGAATTGCTTTATTGGGGGGGTGGGAGGGCTAATTATATATTTTGTTGTTCCTCTATACTTTGTTCTGTTGTCTGCGCCTGAAAAGGGCGGAAGAGTTACAATAAAGTTTACAAGCGAGAACCCGAGACTGGCCGGGCCCGCGCTCCTCATTTGCCCCCCGCGCCTTGCAGAGCTGGGGGGACCGGCTCCTGCACCCGCCAGGCCTGGCAGCCCAGAGGAGGGGGCGGGGGCTGGAGGCAGGTGGTGCGAGTCCCTTGGCCCAGGGGCGCAGGGGGTGAGGGAGGCGGCTGCGCCTGATTGGAGGAGAGAGAACGGGGGAGGGGAGCCCAGAGAACCCCCCTCCCTTCGCGTTCCGAGGCTGCGGGCGCAAGACCTAGGCGCCGAGGCCACGCCGGAGAGATGCGCCCGGGCTGGCGGCTGTATCCCCCCTCCACCTCCCCCTTTGTTTCTGTGGACCCTTTCCTGTCTGTGCCTATGTGGGGGTGAGTGGATACAAGTGGAGTGCAGGGCCGCTGAACAAGCTTATACATTTATTTTCCCCGGATTGGGTGGGTGGGGGGAGCAGGAGGAGAGGAGAGATGCTCTCCCCCGCCTCTCCTTCTCTACGACTTGGCCACCTTCGCCCAGCTCCGAGGTCGTGGCTCGCCGCCTTCCTTCCTTCGCTGCCCCTGCTTCTCCGGCAGCCACGCTCTACTTGAGGCATCCGCCTCCCGGAACCAGGAGAGCAGTATACCCAGGCCGCCTTCCTCCCTTCCTTTCTCTTCCCACCCACCTCACCCCACCCCCTTCCTTTTTTACTTTCAACCCCCCCCCTTTTTTTAAGCCACCAGAAACCGCATCATCCAGAGCCCGTGGGCTGGATCCCGCGCCTGTAGGAGCACCCACGAAGCCTCACTCCATTCCTGCCTGTATGTCTGGGGGCACCGAGAGCGAGCAAGGAAGCCGGGCTCACCTCCGCTCCTCACCTCGGGAGGACTGGACCAAGTTCCCCCAAAGGCCCAGCCAGGCCGAACTGGCCCAGATTAATAAAGACGTGACCTGCCCCCCCCACCCAGTTGCGAGCAATCCCTGCATTTGTTTCTCGTTGGGTAACCGGGAGGGGGGGCGGGGGGTGACAGCACGGATCGCTTGGAGGTTATTTATTTTCCCTGCCACTCAATCCCTTCCTCCCCAAATCTCGCCTGCAAGCTGCCTCCAGCCCAAGGGGGTCGACAGCGGCCCTTGAGCCCCCAGCCCCAATCCACAGGGCTTGGCTTTCCCATTCATTATTGATCATATTTTATAAATCTAACGCCACACAATTTTTTCCACATTACCGGGAGCCGTGGGGAGGCTGCCGGGCCATTGGCGGAGCGGACGTCACGTGGGTGGGGTCACGTGGTCCGGAGAGGAAAAAGGGGGTCCTTTTTGGTGTAAATCTGGACTCTAATTCTGTAATATATCAAGGAATCTCGTAAAACCGACACTAAAACGTCCCTGCCTACAAATCATCCGGCCAAATTATGAGTTCATTGTATTATGCGAATGCTTTATTTTCTAAATATCCAGCCGCAAGTTCGGTTTTCGCTACCGGAGCCTTCCCTGAACAAACTTCTTGCGCGTTTGCTTCCAACCCCCAGCGCCCGGGCTATGGAGCGGGTTCGGGCGCTTCCTTCGCCGCCTCGATGCAGGGCTTGTACCCCGGCGGGGGGGGCATGGCGGGCCAGAGTGCAGCCGGCGTCTACGCGGCCGGCTACGGGCTCGAGCCGAGTTCCTTCAACATGCACTGCGCGCCCTTTGAGCAGAACCTCTCCGGGGTGTGTCCCGGCGACTCCGCCAAGGCGGCGGGCGCCAAGGAGCAGAGGGACTCGGACTTGGCGGCCGAGAGTAACTTCCGGATCTACCCCTGGATGCGAAGCTCAGGTAACGCCGCGCACCGAGCCATCCCGAGCCGCAGTGGCCCGAGCACATTCCCCGGAAGGCGCCCCCTTCCCGGCCAAGTGCTCCTTTCCGCGTCCAGAGCGCTCCCGGTGGGAGGTCGGCCCTGGGGACGCGGCAGCCCCTCCGCCGCAGCCCGGCGCGCCGCCCCCCCCCCCACTTTTTTGCTCGGTGCTCTCAGGCTCCTTCTGCTCCCTCGGCGGATCTCTCTCCGCCGACGCCGTGGCGCTCCGAGCCCCCCCGCCTGCCCCCCACCTTTCCTCCTGGCCTTTTAGCTTTAAATATTTATCAGCCGCGCCGGCACGGGCTGGAGACGAGGCCGTTTGTCTTGTGGAGGAAGGCTGGGGTTTGCAGAGAATAGCCATTAGGGTCTCCCCCCTCCCTTCTCCCTTCCCCCGCCGGGGATCTCAGCTCTGGGTGTGTCCCCCAGCCCCAGCTTGAAGGTCTGGGGGAGGGGGCCCGCAGCGCCGAGCAATTCTCCCCTCCCCCTTCTTCCCAGCCAACCCCGCTCCCCCATTATTCCCTTCTGGACAATTAGAGGTGGGCTCTAGAGGCTTGGCGGAAGGAGGGGGTATGAGAAGAGATGAAGATCCAGCCAGGGACACAGAGCCAGAGAGGCAGGTGGAGAGAGGGGGACTGAGGCCAAGAGAGATGAGGCTCCTGACCCCCCAGTGAACTTGGGAAGGGGGAAGCAGAACTAGAGAAGGGGTCAGAAGCCCCACAGGAGTACAGCTGGCTTCCTCAGGTGCCCTGCCTAGGGCTCCTAAGTGCCCCCTGGAGAACTGGCCAGCAAGTTTGCAGGTATCATTCCAGAAGGGTGACTGTCCTCTTAGGGGAGAGACTAGGACTCCATGGGAGCCGCATCACGAGTTAGAGAGTGCAGGCCACTGAACCAGCTGCTTCAGAAGCCCCAAGAGACCCAGGCTCTGTGGGGTTTTCTGACTAGCTTGAACCAGACATCTTTCTTCTTGCTGCCCTGGGCTCAGGGACCAACTCCAAGGTTCAAAAAGCCCAAGACTGTGGTCCGAGGCTCCCCAGTCCAGTCAGAAGGAGCCCAGCTCTTACACCATCAGTATTGGTAGTCACGGTCCCCATTACCTGCTCCATAATTCAATTGCCTTTCCAGTTGATTTATCAAAGCCCCAATTTTTCTGCTCGTAAACATTTCAGCTTGGCTTTTATCTGACTTGAAATTAGGGCCCCTAGGCTCTCCTCCCATGTCTACTTCCCAGGAGGGCTGGCACCAGCTCCTCCCCCAGTACAGCCTCCCCCAAGGCTCCTCAGGGTTTTGGCCTAACCTGGAAAGCTCACCTCTGCCCTTCAGCCCCCGCTTCCCAGATACTTCATGTTCCACCCCAAACCAGGCTGCTGTCTCTCCTGTGCCTTCCTGGAGGCCCAGAGATTGATTTGGAAAACTGGGTTGTCTGGGCAGGTGGGCAGGCCGGACAGCCTGTCCCTGTCTGAACCTGAGCCACTCACTGGAAAGAGTCATCATAGTGCTCCTGCTCTCTGGCCGATTCCAAGCTCCAAGGAAATCTGCAGATTCTCACTTCCTCCTCATTCCACAGCAGGCTGTGTGTGTGTGTATGTGTGTGAGAGAGAGAGAAAGAGAGAGAGAGAGAGAGAGAGAGAGAGAGAGAGAGATTGGGTCTGTGAGCCTCTTTGTTTCCTTTCTTTTTGGGGAAAGCACTGAGGCCAGGCCTAGAGCCCCACTCCAACTGCATGATTTCCGTGGCCTCTTACCTAAAGATCGTCAGAGTCTGTATCCAAAAGGGGTGTCTTAGGGTGCCTGGTCCCAGGGGTGATGGGAAGATTAGCCTTCCTTCATCCCACGTAACACCCTTCAGGTGCAGGGCCTTCAAAAGCTAACCGGTTAAATCTTGGGTTCAGGAGCCCTAGTCCGGAAGACTTTCCAGGTGGCCAGTGGGGACGGCTGCCTCAGGAGGCCTCTAGAAAGTCCTGTACATTGAGGGAAGAGGGAAGGCACACGCTGAGGGGTGTGGAAAGTAAGACTTTGGTTTACTGGGGAAATGGGCTCTTCCACCCACTGACCCCAAACCTAAGAGTCTGTGAAGAGGTGGGCAGTCTTGTGGCTTTTCCCACACGCACTGATTATTCTCCTTTAAATACTGTGCGCAGGAACTGACCGAAAGCGCGGCCGCCAGACCTACACGCGCTACCAGACCCTGGAGCTGGAGAAGGAGTTTCACTACAATCGCTACCTGACACGGCGGCGGCGCATCGAGATCGCGCACGCGCTCTGCCTGACCGAGAGACAGATCAAGATCTGGTTCCAGAACCGGCGCATGAAATGGAAAAAGGAGAACAAGACCGCGGGCCCTGGGGCCACCGGCCAGGACAAGGCCGAGGTGGAGGAGGAAGAGGAAGAGTGAGAGCCAGAGAAAGGGCAGAGAGCCAGAAAGGGAGAGAGAGGGCTGAAGCCCAGCTCTGAGAACTGAACCAGGAAACTCAAATTAAATAGGGAGGGGGAAAACTATTTAAATAGTGAAAAGCAGTTTAAAATTTTTTAAGGAGAGACGGTGGAATTTTGGTTTCTTAACACTGAAAAACAAAAACAAAAACAAACAAACAAAAAAACACACCATACTACCTATAGAAAAGCCCCGGTGGGTTTGTTTTGTATGCTATGGGAGGAACATCACCTACCTACCTGTTCTCTAGATTTTCTGCCTCCCCTTTTCTATGTCGCTATTGTAAGGTCTTTGTAAAATCTCGCTGTTTTGTAAGCCTCTTTCTTTGATGCTGTCTTTGTGCTCTGTGGGTCTGGACTAAGGTGTGTGGTTCCCTGTCCTCCTGAGGCCCCCCCCCCCCACCTTACCAGTAGCAGTACGGAAGGGGCCTTAGGGAGCCCCATGGACCCACCGGACTAGCTCAAGTGTCCCCTCTGTGCCCCTGGCCTACCCGATGCTCCTTGCTTCCGCCAGCCCCTGTGATCCCCTTTACATTGTATGTGTACCTGAAGGATGGAGAAATAAAAAACACAATTTAAAAATGAACAGACCTATTTTCTGTGTTTCCCTAAAGCTGGGGCGGGGGCTCTGGGTGAGCCAAGCATCCCAGAGCCCCTTGGCTCCAACTTCTGCTGCTAGTCATTTCGTTCTGTGCTGGGGTCTGCCCTTTTCCCCAGTGCTCCTGGCTCTGGGGGCTGCCCAGGGTGAACCCCCATAGGACACACATAACCTCCCTTTACATTCTTTTACACATACTGACATACACAAATGCACAAATCGCACCTATTTACAGGCTGACATCACACATAAGTAAATCTATACATTGTCACCTACAGTCACCAACAAACACCTCATATTCATATGTCCATAAATAAACATATAGGCATTCATTCACCCATCCCAGCTGTACACTGGAATGCATGCATTCATGTTCACACACACTCACAAGTAAACACACATTCACACTCACTCACAGAGACATTTATACATACCAGTGTACATTCACACATCGGCTTATAAACACAGATTCACATTTGCCCCAAGTAAACACATCCCTGAGCCCACAGGCTCAGTAACACACCCATTCACAAAACAAAACCCCCACCGTTTGCAAACTCTGGCTTATCCAGGCCTTCAAACCAGGCTGCGGCTTGGTGGTGCGGCTGGGGCTCAAAACGCAGCTGAAATCCACAGTGTTAGGCCCACAGGAAGGAAGAGAGGAAGGAAAGGGAAGGTGAGCACCCAGATCCACTCCCGCTTCTTGGGCGGCTTTGGGCAGAAGCCAGGCCGGCGAGCAGGCGCTCCCCAGCCGGTCCAAAGAGGCCTCCAACCCGAGGGCGCTCCCGGCTTCCGCTTTCTCGGCATTTTCCGCAAGACCTACTCGGTTATTTTATTTCAACTTATTTTACTTCCATTTATCTCATTCTAAATTAACACAGCGATCCAAATAAAAATTTTGAATTGTGGGGGAGGAGTGGATGATCCCTGAGAACGGGAAACTGAGCGGGGCAAGGTTACCCGGCTAGTGTGGCCGCATCCCCGGCTGTTCTGAGCCCGGCCGCGCCCGGCGCCAAGCTCCGCCGGCTTCCTCCGCGCCTTGCTGCCCGCGGTCCGCGCTGCCGGCGACCTGGAATCTTCTCCAGAGTGCAGAGAAAGAGAGAAAAGACAGAAAACATTTTTGGGGGGATGTTATTTCGTTTCCTGCATTTGGGCACTGGTAGCTCAATTCAAAAATACAGGAATATTTCAGGGTACCTGGGAAACACGGGGTGAATTTTGATTGGTGGTGGTGGTGGTTTGTTTTGTTTTGTTTTGTTTTTTTCCTCCAAAACACCCCTTGATTGAGGAACATAAACCTGGAGGACAGCACCTACGCATCTAGACCTGTGGAGCTGATGTTTAGAATTTATTCGATTATAAACCTTGGATTATTTAAATGCAAAGAACAGGTTTGGGGACAGAAAGGGGGAAGCAGGTTGGAATGGAACCAGGTTTTAGAAGAATCTCTTTAATTTGAATTTGTAAGTAAAAGTCCCCTGAACCTGCAGTTTCCCCCATTAATGACCGCAAAACCCCCAGGAGAGCATATGGAGCTGTCACTGGGAACCTGGGTATGTGGGCATTTGGGCAGGAGAAGCAGGGATCCAGCCTCACCCTCTTACAATTTCTGGGGAGCAGAGGCAAGAACCTTGGCCTCTCTCAGGGCCGCCTTTCTTCCCCCAGCAAAAAACAGACCCTAGGGGATCTAGGGCCCCCACACCCGCAATGCTACAAGCCTCAAAGATAGGGGTCCCGCCATCTAGAGGACTGAGAATGAGGGGGGCACTCAGAGAGGGAGAGGGGGCACTGAAGCCTTCATTTTGCTCTGATGCAAGTGACAATTTTGGATACCCGCCATTACTCCCGACTCACCCCAAAACTGTATTAAAATAGCCCCTGTGTGGAGGATTTGGGATGAATTCTTACTAGAAGAGGGGGGGCAGAGCTCCTGCGAGAATAGGGAGGTTCTGGAAAGAATCCCCTTCCCAGATGGACCCTTGTGGCTCCTCCGCCTGATTCCCTGCACCCCAAATCTCACCCTTTCTCAGACAGGGGTTTCCCCAAATAGCGAGAAGGAGAAGAAAAGAAGATGGCGACTGAGAAAAGGGTTGCTGGTGGAGCAGCCATGAAGAAATGCAATAAATTCCTTGTTGTTTTATGAAAATTTACAACTTTGTGATAGAAGTTTATGAGTGGTTGAATCCAGCGATTGGCCGGCGCCGGTCATGTGGCCGGGCGATCGTGAACATGAACTTTTTATCATTTCCCTGGTGGTTATAATGCAGCATTCTTTTGGACACCACACCTAGGTCGGAGCACTGTCGTCCTTCAGGGCTCCAGCCTCTTGATATTTTTATACTTCAGTATCAGCTCGATAAAGCAAAAGAGAGAGAGGAAGAGAGAGGGAGAGGAAAGGAGAGGGAGAGAGAGAGAGAAGGAGGAGTGGGAATTACACAAAAGAGAGAACCAAAAATAATTTTTAATTTCTAAGTTGATTTGCTTGCTGAGCTGGGATTTTAGTCATCATGGAGGGTAAATGGACAATCTGCCCAGGACTGCAGGCTGATACCATTTTTCAAAGCCAGAACTTACTCCATTTTCTATGCAAATATCAGAAAAGCGAAACACCCTCTCTCCCAAGTCAGAGAAGGGGAAGCGACGGCTCTCAGGTTGGGACAATATTATCTGGAAGATGAAGAAGAAACAGAACGCTTTCCGCCCCCCTTCCTCCTCACCTCTTTCAATCGGAGGGAAGAAATCCCAAGGTCTACAAAGGTAAGAGAGATTCTACAATTCTCTTCTTATTCTTTTGCACCGATTTTGTAGGGGGTGGGGCTTAGGTTTGTCTCCCTCTCACCCCCACCCCAAGACGGGGCTGAACCCCACCTCTGGGCGCTGCAGGGAGAGGCTTCCCAGGAAATTCGGTGGCCGAGAGAGAGGGGGTGGCTGCTTCCTGGAGGGGGAGCCAAGGCAGGGAAGATGGGAGGAGGAACTGAAAGGGGCCACGGAGGCGAGCTCTGAGACGCCTTTTTAAGCTGGGAGAGGAGGCTCAAGTGAGGGGGTTCTTCGAAAGAGAGGATGGGGTGTCTGGGCTGCAGGGCGCCCCAGAAGCCGGTTACTATGACCTCTGTGGGTGTGCGCCCCCTCCCCCTCCCACCCTCCCTCCCTTGTTCCGGCCTCCCCCAGTTGCCCCCCGCGCAGTTCTCTTGCCCAGCGTGGGTATCGGCGGTTTCCCGGCGGCATTGGCACAAGGGGCGGTGGCGCTGAGGGACGTCCTGGTCTCTGGAGGGCCTGGAGTCTCCGCGGAGGCCCGAGAGGGCGAGGAGGCGGCGGCTAGAGGGACAAGAGAGAGAACAATTCACAGGGAAATGCTCATTATCTCCCTTCGGAGACGTTTCTGAAATTAAAGGGCCGTGGGTGGAGGCACCCAAATGGAGGGAGACCCCCCTCCCCCCAGGAAGCCAGCCGGAGAATGCCCAGGTCTCTCGCCACTCCCGAAGGAGGGAGCCTTGCTCTGCAAGGAGACAGTTTTGTGGTTTTTTAATGCGGTAGGTTACAGCGTGTTGGTTTCTGTGCAATATTGATTCTATTACTTGTGTTTTATTGGTATGGGCGTGTGGATTTCGGTGGAGAAAATTGCCATGTGTGTGTCTGGAGTGGGAACATTTCAAACTTTCCTAGAACCAAACGTGTTGATTGTGGAGAAGCTGTTGAGCGTGTTGTGGTGTTTTAAGCTTGTAAACAAAAAAACAAACAAAAAAACAAAACAAAACAAAAAAAAAAAAGAGAGAGAGAGAGATGGGGGAGAGAAGAAAATAGAAGGAGAACCCAGTTAGGGAACCTGATGGTGTCCGGACGGAGAGCTGTCTGGCTCTGAGCTGGGACAGCTAGCTAGTCCTGTCCCTCAGGCGCCTGATTTCATTCTCCAGCCAGGCCTCCTGGAGGTGAGGAGGGGGGAGAAGAACTGCTGGGCGGGAGACTGAAATTCCTAAAGTAGCTGGTGGGGTGGAAGAAGGGGAAAGAACCTAAAAACCGAGAGAGAGGGGCCTTCTGGGGAAGCTGCCAGCGGAGAGATAAGCGGCTTTGGGCATGGAAGGCGGGAGAGACTGTGATTCACTTTGGTTTGCACAAATAGGTGATTGCTTTTCTCTTTTTGAAGACCAAAGGCAGAGCGTTCAGCCTCGGGCTTCCGGTTGCCCAGGGATTGCAGGGGATGGGGGTGGGTAGGGGGAATATTGGCGCTCTCAAGCCTGGGCTGGGAAGAGAGGGGTGCAGGCCACTTGTGGCGCGGGAAGGGGGCCCTTGGAGGCGCAGGTAGATACCCAGGAAGCAGGCCAGGGCTGGGTGCCTGCGGGGACCCCTGGGCTGCGCTGCGAGAGAAGTTCTCGGCCAGCACCCACGGCACTCGGGGCCTATTCTCCAAGGAAAAATTCCCCAAACCCATCCAGACTAAAGGTCTTTTTCTCCTGTAGTCTTGGCGGGGTATAAATCATCCCTCAGACAGTTTGCTCTGACCCAAATTATGCGGTTTGCTGCCATCTACCGTCCGTTCGGAGACATGCGGCTTCGGCGCCGCGAGCCCCGCGACACCTCCTGAACCGTGCCCGACGCCTGGAGCCCCCGCTGCTCAGGTTCGGCGGGTTTCGGGGGGCCCAGATTGTCGCTTTCCGCTGGATCTTGGTACCCGCCCGTCCGCGTGTGGATTAGGGAACAAGTGTGCCCTCGCCCGCCCCATCCCAGCTCCAAACCCAACAGCTGGCTGGGAAAGCGGCTCTTTCTAGGTCATATTTAAAAAGGACTGATACTGCATCCCGCGGGCAGGGGGCCCTGAACCCAAGGGTCGGGGGATCAGAGTCGCGAGCCCTCACCCGCCTGCTCAAGAGGGGATCATCCAGGCCGCTCGGGAGATGCGAGGCCAAGGCTGTTCAAGGTTTATTTGGTTTTCTTTTCAGCCAAGGGAGGGGGCCAGCGGGGGAGGCGCCGGCCCCCGCAGTTCCACTCGGCTGTCAAAAGACAAACCCGGGTCTGTGTTCTCCCGGTTGGCTGGTGGGTCTTGCCAGTTGTTTGGCCGGTGAGTCCCTGGTGAAGGAATTGAGACGAAATTTTCTGGGAACTGTTGGTGTCTGCAAGTGAGTGTGGGTCCCCTCCCCCATTCTCGATCGTTTCAAGCGAAATCGACACAAATATGCTTTGGGGAAAAAAAAAACTGGGCGTGGGAGTGGGGATCAATCATTAAGGAACTAAACCATTGTGATTTCCGATCCTGCCAGACCCCTCACACCCGCTTAACCCGATCGCTTTCCCAGAAGGGGGTGGCGAGGGCCGGGGTACGCGCCTCTGCTGCAGCGTTTGAATATTGGCCCCTGTCTCACGGGTTACTGATTAGCTCCGGCTTTCAAGCCACAGGAGGAAGCTCTGGCCGCTCTTTTCAAGGTGCTGTGGCCCCAGTTCCTGGGCGGGGGCTCCAGGAAATTGCCTGCGGTGCCAGGCAGGCCGAGGTGTTACTAGGGTCTGGCCCGGAGCTAAAGGAGCTGCGGAAGTTGAGGGGGCCAGGTGGTGCTGGGGGGCAAACCCGGAGGCTGCTGTCCCCGCGTCTATGGCGCCTCCAGAGCTTGGACTACGGGAGCTGCCCTTTCAGCTTTCTGGCAGCAAGAGTGACTTTCTGTGGCCAGAAGGCCCCGCCCAGTGCGGAGGCCCCCAGGGAGCTGCTGGAAAGTCTTGGGCCCTTCTTCCTTGTGGGCAGCCGGAAGAACAGGTAGGGAGGGAAGGCGGCTGGTACAGGGGGGTTGAAACACTTTGGGTCTTAGGTACCCTTAGGTACCGGGTGGACCTGGTTAGGGAGAAGGCGGAGGGAGCCCTGCACCACCACCAATCCCACCCCCCCCCCAACCAAGATCAGAGAGGAAGATGTTCATTTGCATAATGGAAATGAGGTCTTTGTACCGCGCCTTGGTCAGGCCAATTTTAAGGCAATATCCCATGTAAACCGCTCCCAAAGGTTGAGAACTCCCCCTGGGAACATTTATGTTCCCCAGATTCAGAGAATCACACTGTCTAGGGGAAGAATTGGGTTGAGATGTCTTAATTTGCTCCACCCCAGCCCGAGCTGGGAGTGGGTTGGGGCAAGATGCTCACAGCCCGGTGACCTAAAGGTTGGGGGGGGGGCATCTGTGTAGCTGAGAGGGAATGGGAAGCCTGGACAGTGTCTCAATCCCCTCTCTCCTCCATACCCATCAAGGCAAAACACCTCTCTGAGGTTACCAGTACAGGAGAATTTTGCTCGCAAGCTGAACACAACTTGGATATTTCCCTGGGAGATGAAAATGCGTGCGCGTCCACGGGAGCTCAGATACACAGCACAGAAAATCACCATTATAAATTCTGCCTGTGGGGTTTCTGTGCAGTCCTTCTGTTGTGTCCTTCAGACTTGGTACACATTTATATCCACCTTTCTATATACACACTTCTTCAGCGAGGCTGGGAGAGACACCCCAGACTGGCAGACAGCTGTGCCTGCTGGGTATTTACATATTCCCCCATGGAGACAGACAGACAGACGGTGGTGGACCGAACCACAGACAAATTCGTAGAGATCTGGCTCCAGAAACCAGGCGGCCTCTGGCCGGGCCCTGCCCATCGTCTGCTCTTTCTCCCAAACAAACGGATCAGACGAATAAACGCTCATAAATACCTCTGGGCTTAGATAAGAGCGATGAGGCGCTATTTCCTTTCATGCTGGACTCCAGGCGCCCAGGCCCTGCCTTTGCGGCTCCATCTCACGACAGGCAACCTGCGGAGGTGAGGTTAATTTGGGTCTGTGACTCTAAGGATAATGCAGTTATTTTCGTGCTTCTATCACAGGGAAGTCTCCCTCCCTTATGGCATCCTACTTAGTCCAGACTCTGCAGCAAAGCCCACACTGTCCAGTTCTAGGAGGGGACACTGTGGCCAGGGAGGAGGGAGGACAGAGGTGGTCCAAGGCCCAGCCCCAGTGGCAGGACTGAGGTAGGGTGCATACCGGCACTCTGCTGACCTTGCTTTCCCAGACCAGATGCTCCCCGATCGCAGCTAGACTGGGGCACTAAAGATTCTTCATCATTAGGAGGCTCCAGTTTTCTTAAATCTTGATAACTACCCTCCCCCCAGAGTTTGGCTAGGAAGTTGTTGGTGGGACATGCAGGCATTGCCACTCAGCCATGAAGTAGTATAGCCTAGAAGTTGTCCTGAGTTCAGGGAGCCTTGTAGGCCATTTGCAACCAACTACGTCCCTGCCCTTGGTCACCATCTCGGCCCTCTGCCACTTTCCCTAGTGTCTTGTGCCATCTGCAGTGGACAAATATGGCCCACAAAAAGGAGCCCAAAGAACAAGGCAGAGGAGAGTCAGCCTGGCCCCTTTATCATCAGATTTTTGTCACACATCCTGGCTCGTTCCAGAACCCAGGTCTGAAGGTTAAGGTTATCACCCTTTACTGCCTGGCCTCCACGTGCATAGTTAGAATGTTGAACACACATTGTGCTTCAGTCTTCCAGCCTGGCTTCGGTGCTCATTTTCCTTAGATGAGAGGAGAGAGAGAGAGAGAGAAATGAATGGAGATGAGCACTCTTTCTCACACCCAAGCTTGTGCAGCAGCAGAGCTGATGATCCAAATCTGAGACACGGGAGGGACTGGAGAGATGCTGAGAGACAGACAGAAGGGTGGTGAGCATCTGGAGAGGGGATTCGGGCTGATAGTTGTAAGCTGCCTGCTGGGTCCCCAGGAGGATATGGACACCTC